CCCCAAAACCCCAAAACCCCAAAACCCCAAAACCCCTTCAATTTCTTTAGCAGTTGAATATTAGTAAATAGACTAATACCTCTTCTAAAATTGGAGGTTAGATTAAAGAATCAATTTTTCATAATTTTTCCTTCACTCAAACTTTTCTGACTGCCTCTTGTTCTTCTTGAACTTTATCAGGGATGAGCTGAGAGTACTCTTCTGACTGATCTTCCTCGATCATTCATAATAATTTGAGTTCGTCTTTTTCATTGCCGGTGAGACTTGGTTGGAATAAGTCCTCTCAACTTTAAAGATTTTCCTGCTCTTCGGTTTTTTCGATGAATATCAACTATTTTTAGCAGATTTTATGTATTTTTGACTTGAGAATGACTCAACTTGATGCTTATTATCAGTCCTAGTGCTCTCATTTTCACAGAAGTTTGACTTATCGAAGGCTTTATCAATCTTTTTGTTTGGTTTTGACACACTCTTGCTTGGATAGAGGGCCAAAGGATTGATCAATTGGCTTGTCTTCTTTTCACCAACACTCGGCTTTTTATAAGGAGTAGGGAGGTTTATCTTTCAAGGCTTATGCCTAACTTTTCCAATTGTATTAATTGATTCAGTATCAATATCTATAAATTCTTGTGCTATTGATTGGACAGATTCATCATGGAGATTATATTCAACTAAAAGATTACTCACAAATTACTTTTAACCTCTTCTTGGTTGTCAAAATTCACCACAGTTGTCTTAGATCTCTTGACCATAGTGATCTGGTCGCTCGTATTCACTGAATTTTGCTCAGAATTATTTCCAAACTCGTTATTTTCAAAAACTTCACTGAGCTTTTGCTCAGAAACAAGACGGAGCTCGGGTGTGGCAGCTTCATTCATATAAGCTTTAGTCCTCTTAGCCTTCAAGTATTGATTGATTTGTCTGTGGACTTCCTTCTCTTGTTCTGGCTCAAGCTGGTAGGAAAATCTCTTGACCTTAATGATCCCTTGAGATTTCTCAACGTTGTTACTAGATTTTAGAGATGAGTGAGTACCTGATCCTGCTAAAATTCATTGAGCTATCCCCTCTATTTCGTGGGTAATCATTCTCCACTCCTGATAAGTCTTTTGGGATCATAAACTCTGCATTCTGGAGAGAGACTATTTTTCAAGGATTAACAATTCTTTGAATTATACTTACTGTCTTGTTCAAGATAAGACTGGGAAAAACTCTGCTCAGTGACTGTTTTTGATGAGGAATATGACTCTAACTGTGCATCTGAGAGGCCTTCCACCCAAAATTCTTTCCCTCTTCTTGAATCGTTCTTTGGATCTAATCCGAAATCATTGAAGTTTATCGGAAGAGAGGTATATTCCGAATCAAAATTAGAGTCAATGAGGTTTGGCTTCCATGGAACTTCAATTCTTTTGTTGAAATAATCATCCCAGTTTACATGATTAAAATATTCATGATTATTTTACTTCTTCAATACTTTGAGGCCTATCTGATCACGATTTTTGCAGAAGTTTTTCCATCAAATCTCATGCTTCTATTGGAACGTAGAAAGGAAATTCTATTCTATTTTCTAAAATCCCTTGGTACATTTTATTTGTGTCCTGATTGTAATGAGGAGGAAGACCAGTGAGCATCTCGAATAATAGAGCCCCAAGACAGTAGAGATCGAGTCTAAGATCATGAGACTCTCCTCTCAACATTTCAGGACTCATATATTCTGGAGAACCACAGAAGGATCTTGAGTGGCTTGTCTTCAACTGTTTCGAAAGCCCAAAATCTGCTAATTTTATATGCCCATCAATGTCGATTAAAACATTCTCTGGCTTTAGGTCTCTGTACACTATATTTTTGGAGTGGAGGTACTCAAATGCTAAGATGAGTTCAATTATATAAAATTTTGCTTTAAACTCATCTAGTCTTCGATGTAATTTGAGCTGATAGAATAATTCACCGCCAACGCATAAGTCCATAACGAAATTTAATGTCGTGTAAGTCTGAAAGGCCCAGTATAGCTTAACTATAAATGGATGATTAGTGATTTGCATTATTTTCCTCTCATTCTCAATTTGCTTCAGCTTTCGCTGATCGGTGGCCATATTTTTATCAAGAACTTTCATTGCATACATGAAGCCAGATGATTTCTTGCGTACTAGAAAAACCTTTGAGAATCCGCCTTTTCCAATAACTTTCTCAAGTATGAAATCGTTCAAACAAATGGGCTTCTTTCGGTTTGGGAGATACTTAGAGAAATGAGGAACTATCCGTTGACCTGTTTGCAATGGCTCTAAGGACCTTTCAACTTGTGTTACCCAATAATTGAGTGATTCGTTATAAACCGCTAGGCTTCCTTGCTCATCTGAGCTATTATAGTCCTCATATACCTTAATGGCAACTACTAATTTCTTTTTCAATTTACTCCCTGTTTTGTTCTCAAGTTCTTGAATGAAGTCTGTATATTTCCTCATAACTTCTCAGACTAGCCAGCCTGTGGTGAGGCAATCATCAAATAATTTTATCTCAATCTGGGTTTCTTCCTTATCAATCCCCTTGAGATTGCCATCTTTGAGAAGGTAGGATAAATCCAGAGTGAGTACTTTTGAGGCATCTGATTCGAGGTAGGGGGAGCTCATCTCCCATATTTTGTCTTCGCTGGACTCCTCCTCACTTTCAGTAGAGCTACTATTTGCTTTCTTCTGAGGCTTTGTTGAAAGTAAATACCTTAGAAAGCATATTTATGTACTTTTTGTAGCCTGACTTCTCCCTCTTCTCCATTTTGAATTATAATTTGTGGTTTTTTAGGGGTTTTGGGGTTTTGGGGTTTTGGGGTTTTGGGG